GACAGAGAAATATATGGAAGCTTAAGAGAGGGTTTTAAGAAGCAGGGAGAGAAAAACAATGTCAAATGCGACCCAAATGTCACCTAAAGTAAGGACTGAAAAGTATCTAACTTATTAGCAATTAAGTCATTGGCGACCTTAAGAAGACTGATTTCAGGGTAGCAGAGGAGTTAATTAGATTGTAGCAGGTTAAGGAGTAAATAGTAAGTTAGGAAGTACAGAGGAACTTCTTCAACAAATTTAAGTAAAATACTGATATATGATGAATTATGTCTTCAGCCTAAATACTGATTTTTAGCAAGTTCATCCCTTAATTAATTAATTAATTAATTAATTTTTAGAAAACTGACAGAACTTGATGATCAACTGATGTCAGGGTGCCCATTAAACTTGCTTCTTGTTGCCTCTCCTCTGCATCTAGTAACCACAGCATCAAAAATACATATTATCTAAATACAACTACAGTATGGATTTTAAAATATTATTCTGAAACAATGTCACCTGACAACCCAAATTAACTTCATGGGAAAGCATGAAATCATACCATAGAAATATCATTTACATATTTTTGGAATTCAGACTATGCCTAGTTTAGTTTCTTTTTTATTAGACAGGGAGTACTGATGGGATGCTAAAGTGGCTAATAAATAGGTGACCATTAAGGTACACCTGCCAGGACCGTCCCAGTTGCAACTCTACTTTCCTGGCACAGCACTACTTTCACTTCAAATAAAGCATATGATCACCTTACTTATACGCCTCTTTTGAAGAATTATTATCTCAAGTTATTCGAGTAAACATTAAGTCATAGAATACCAAAGAGACTCCCTAGAAAACTCTTTAACTACATAAGAGTTATTAGTGCTACAGCTACTTAAGAGAAGAACAGATTGAACTGAACAAACCTTTTGGAGATATGGCCATATTGACATTATCACAATAGAAAATCCTGTAAAGAAGGAAATTCTGTTAGTTATGATAATTTCATCACTATTTGTAGATACAATTTTTTAAACTACAGCATGGATTTTAAAATATTATTCTGAATTTATAAATTTATTCCCATAAATGTCTAATTTATCAAGCAATGGGGTTTTATTTATCAAAAGGAAAATAAAAATATTAAAGACTTGACAAAAATATGTATTTATAACCCCTGGCCATAATTAATATAATAAAAGAGAACCTATTTCACCTTATTCCACATGCCTTTATTGTAAATGGAAATTACTGAAAGCTTTGTTACATTTTTGTAGCAGAAATGAATGGAGGAAAGGCCACTTTGTAATGGAAGTGCTAGACTTTTAACCTGTGTTGTTTGGGAGAGATAATCACCTATAGGGAAGACTAGGAAGAAAGGCAATGATCATCCACAGGGGGTAGTGCTTTAAAGAATCCAGGATATTCCAAGATGGCCATAGCTTAAAAGAAAATTCATTATCTCTGCAAGCCTTTATTGCTTGAGAACTGTAATGATAAACTACAATGCTATCTATCACTTTTAAATGTTGGGCATTTCCAATCAAAATTCTATAAGGGCTATTTTTTTAAAAACAGTTTTATTAAGATATAAGTCATATACCATTAAATTTACCAATTTAAAGTGTACAATCAAATGATTTTTAGTAAAATCACAGATACATGCAGTTTTCACTACAATCAATTTTAGAACATTTTAGTGACCTCTGAAGCAAACCTGAACCCTTTAGCTATTATTCTGCTACCCTCCATCCTCCAGTAGCCCTAAGCAATCACTAATCTTGATGAGTTTTCCTATTTTGTATTTTCATATGAATAGAATCACACCAATATGTATTTTTTTGTGTCTGGCTTGTTTCTTAGCATAATGTTTTCAAGGTTCATCCATGTTGTTGCAATATCTGTACTTCATTCCTTTTATAAGGCCTATTTTTAGAAAGAATTTAATTATTAGTTTTACTTTAGTATATTTTGCATTGACACATTAACTTTGATGAAAGAGGACTGAAAGAGTAAACTACTACTTTAACCAAGGCTATACTTTGATAATCAAGAAACTTGTGAACAAGTGAAATGTTTACTAAGCCAATTAAATCTAAAGTTAAGATAATTTTCTTTTTTCTTTTCTGTTAAATTTGAAGTTATTACTTGTAATTTTAGATAATTGAGTACCAAAAATTAGAAGGGTTTTAAGTGAAAAACCAATCTATTGCAGAGATTGCTACCTAAAGAACTTTCATTTGCCCCCCTCCACCTTCCTGATAGAATACCAGTTTTATTCTGGTATCCATCACTTTTCTACAAAAACACAAGCTTAGGGAAAACTGTCTTTACCCCAAATTCCAGACAGTAACTTCTAATTAATCAAACGAATTCAATTAGGGTAATCTCACTATCCTAGCTGAAGATGGTCTTAAAAATTGACGGGCAGCCATGCTTTGACCAGTGACAAGTGAGGGGAGGTCTCCTTGGGGACCCCTGGGAAAGGACTCCTCATTTCTGTGGAGGTTTAAAAACAAAAGTCCCTTTCAATCAATAAAAATGATCATGAATGGATGTGACCCCTGGAACTGCTGTTGCAACCTTACGATAGCCTAAGAATGAAGCTAAGAATGTGTATGAAAGGGCAAAGCCAAAAAAAATTACTGGGAAGCAGTCAAAGACCCAGTACTTACAAATCATGTATCTGACAAGGGGTTAATATTCAGAATATATAAAGAACTCCTAAACTCAACAAAGAATAAAATAACCTGATTAAAAGTGGGCAAAGGACTTGAATAGACATTTCTCAGGAGGAGATATATAAGTAGCCAATATGCACATGAAAAGATGCACAGCGTCACTAATCATCAGGGAAAATTAAAACTACAATGCAACACTACCTCATACTCATTACAATGACTGCTATTAGATAAACATAAAATAAGAGTTGGTGAGGATGTGGAAAAATTTGAACCTTGCCTGTTGTAGGAATGTACAAATAGTGCAGCAGCAATGGAAAACAGTGTAACAACTCCTCAAAAAGTTAAAAACAGAATTATCATATATCCAGCAACTCCACTTCTGGTTGTATACCCAAGCAAACTGAAAGCAGGATATTGCAGAGATAGTTGCACACCCATGTCACAGTAGCTATTCATGAGACAAGTGAAAGCAACTAAAGTGCCCATCATAGAGGAATGGATAAAATGTGGTGTACACTGAAGGGGATCAGAACATGCCACTCCACAATATGTTACTTTGGCATATTGATTTTGAACTGAAGGCAAGTAACAAACAGTAGATGCAGCAAGGGCTCTCTGCTCTCCCCCTTTCTGCCTAAAAACAAAGCATAAATTTCCACTGAGGAAGGTGATCTCCCACTATCAGGAAGAAGACAACAATCTTATTACTGAAGATGGAGAGTCAACACTGAAATGAGTCTACACGAACAAATCTTATTAAAGCAACATTTACCTTCCATTAGTTTTCCTTGTATATTTCCCACTTTTCAAAAATTTATCATTCCTAGAAGTCCAAACCCCTTTTACTTTGTCTACTAATCTCTCCAGAAGTTATTACCCCTTATTAAATGGTAAAAAAATAGCATAAAATTATTTTATTATGTGGAAACCTTTCTGTGGTCTAACCATTTCTTTGGGGGTTTCCCTTCTTTTCTACGAAGCCCCCGTGTCATATAAAAATATTAGCATCAAATAAATTTGTGTGGTTTTCTCCTGTTGATCTGTCTTTTGTCAGTTTAATTTCCAGGCCCCAGCTACGGAACCTAAGAATGTAGAGGAAAAGTTTTTCCTTCCCTACAATATATACAAAGAAATATTATTTAGCTTTAAAAGGAAAGGAAATTCTGACACATGCTACAATAGATGAACCTTGAGGTTTTGTATTTATTTCATTATGCTAAGTGAAATAAACTAGTCACAAAAAGAAAAATACTATATGGATCTATTTAAATGAAATATCTAGAGTAGTCAAATTCCTAGAAATGGGAAGTAGAAAGGTGGTTGCCAGGGGCTGGCAGGAGGAGAAACAAGGAGCTTTTGTTTAAGGGATATAGAGTTTCTCTTTTGCAGGATGAAAAAGTTCCGGAGACTGGTTACACAATCATGCAGACATACATAACACTTCTGAGCTTAGAAATGGTTATAAGATAGTAAATTTTATGTTATGCGATTTTTAACATAATAAAAGATAATTTTTAAAAATTAAGCAACATTAAAATATATTTTCTCTGAATTTCTTAAATTATGTATAATTTCTAATACTTACCTACACTGCTGAAAAACATAGTAAGATACAGAATTCTAATAGATCTCCATCGGCTCCTATAATGTTCTTTGGTTTCTATAACATCCCATTCTCTAGATGTAAACAAGAAAACAGTAGTATAAAATTATTTCATTATGTAGAAACCTTTCTGTGGTGCAATTTTATTTTCTCTCTCCTAAAGTCATGAAAATAATACGACAGAAGTATAATTTACTAATATTGGTTTTTGCTGTACTAATTCATCTCTGAATAAATATTGTCTTTGAATTTCCATGGACTGTATTTATGCATCATTGCACATAGAATCAGGAGACATGAAGTAGCTTAAAAAGGTAAAGCATTCAATAAACCAATTATTTTGCTATTGTTGCCATGCTTAAAATGTATTAATCAACGGTGTTGAAATTTATTAAACTGACAAAAAAGGGTATCAAAATAAATCCAGTAAACTAGCTCAACAATTAGCTCTCCCAATGTGGGATATACAACTACTAAGTATTAAAAGCTAATTACTGTCATCATTATGACATGTTCTTCTTGATGACAGCAAATTAACTGCTGTAGGAAACTATTTTGGCTAGGTACTTTCAAGAAAATTAATGTAGAAGTGATACCAGGGAAGTTTGATGTGACCTGAGACATTCCCAGCCCGAGGACATCTAGGGGCACTTGCCTTTGCTCCAACATGGATTACCAGACCAGTTCTATTAGTGGACCAAAAAGAGATGAAGTTCCCCTAGACTGGGATCATATAGGCTTGTGAGCCTATATGAAAGGGTAAGAATATTAACCAGATATCCTGCCTGTCAGGCTATTCTCAGGCAGTTGATTGAGGGGGGGTCTCTCCCTGCACACTAGGTGAAACCTCAAGCTGGACAGGGGAGGGTTCTTGACTCTGATTGAGAAAGAATTCTTCAACAGGTCAGACAAGTGTAGGTTAGGAAGGAATTCATCAAAGCAAAAGTAGCAGTGAATGGCAGCTGCTGTGCAGGCAGCAGAGGACAAGGAAGAGCAGAGGGAGGAAAGGGAAATTCATTTAACTGCAGCTGGGCATGGGGCAAATCCCCTGCCAGCACCTGAAGCCAGGGTCACCTGGAGTCCAGTGTCCTCTTGAATCTGCACAGCATGGGAACTAAGCCCCTACCACCTCAGGCTTTGGGGGAGCTGCAGAGCACTGGATGGAGGGAGTTTATGTTCTGAGAACTTCCCAAAGGCAAAGAAAGGAGATTTTTGGGCAGTCTACTAACAAGCATGATCATACAGCTGCAGTCGTGTCTGGGTCACCCAGGTGGTGAGAACTTGCAAGCCCAAATCAGAGATCTCAGCAGCACTTCTATACTTCTCTGAGGTAGGACAGAGAGAGTGAGGACTTGGGCTTAAGCCTAGAAAATTGAATAAAATAGCAAAATAACAGAGACGCTTACCACCAGAAGAGCACAGAAACAAAACACAGTAAAATGAATGGTGAGAAGGCTTTAAGGCAAAGTACACACTCGAAGAAAGGGGAGTGAAGGCAATCTCAAAGAGGAATGCTTAAGGGCTCAGGATTCTGTCTCCTAAGGATTTCAAGTATGGGGAAAAGGGCAGGCAGTGGTGCATAGGCTGAGATGTGGTGTCATGATGTCTCTCTCCAGTGACAGACATTATGTCACCATCCAGTTGGTCCCCCAGATAGTTCTGTAAGATAAACTTAACACAAGGAATTTAGTGATCTTGTTCCTCTCCAAGATAGCGGTTACTCTCAAGCAGCGGGAACATATCAGTTAGGACTGCTTGCCCGGCCTTAGGATAGTTGGTTGTTGGCTGATTAACAAAGAATATGTTGGGAATCTTACCTCTGAAATTTCTGGTTTTTAAAGTGGAATCTCAGCCTTAAGATGGGGTCCCTCCTGTTCTTACTATACTGTTTATATCTCTGCATTTTTCATCATAGGCAGACAAAGATAATTATGGTGCTTGTCCCATGTTCCTGCTCTACCTCAAGGTGATAAGTGAGTACTCATCACATTTTTACACATGCATACAAAAAGAGTTAACAAATTTACCTTAACATGAGCATTTAGGTCTTCAAATAATTAAGATAAGTACAAGAGACAAAATGCCTTATTCCAAGATTATTTTCTAAAATAGACCTCAGAGCTATCAATTAGCATTCCCAAAAAAAACTGTTTTTCAAATGTGATGTGATTAGGAATGATAGAAAAGGAATGATAGAAAAGGAATATAGCATTTAATCTACTATATGCCAAGTATATTAGTTCCTGATGTAATATATATGTGAAGTGCTTCATACTATATATGCCATTCCATAAAAATAGACCTTTCACCATAATGTAGTATACCTGAAAAATAGCACAAGCCCAGATGCCCATACAGATCTTCACTGACTTATGATGGGGTTGCATCTAGACAAACCCACTCTAAGTTGTAAACATCCTACATCAAAAATATATTAATACACCTAACGACCAAACACCAGAGCTTAGCCTAGCCCTGTTAACGTGCTCAGACAGCTGACATTAGCCTACCGTTGAGTAAAATCATCTAACACAAAACATATTTTATAATAAAATAAATACCCTACATAATTCATTGAATACTGTATTGAAAAGTGAAAAACGACGACTGCATAGGTACATGGTTGTACACAGATTGCTTGTTCACCCTCATGATCACCTGGCTGAGAGCTCTGGCTCGCTGCCGCTGCTCACCACCACAAGAAGAGTGTACTGTTACACACTGCTAGGCTGAAAAAGATCGAAATTCAAAATCTGATGCACAGTTTCTACTGAATGCATACTTCTTTCACACCATTGTAAAGCCAAATAATCAAGTCCAGGACCGTCTGTATTTGGAGATCAACATACTGGATTTTAGAATACATAATGCAGATAATACATACCAGCAAAAAGTATGTAGTGTTCAATCCCACAGCACTGAGTTCTGATATCACTTTAAGGCACTGGGTCAGTATTATATTTTTACTGGACCCTTTATTATTTTCTGGAGATCAGAAATTAAACAGATCATCACTAATATGAACTATCATTAAAATAAGCTCGAAAATTTTCAAGTAACTATTTTGCTTATATCTTTCTTTAGTTAGGGAAGCAAGAGAAGTAAATAATTTGATTACAGAAAAATGTAATAAGATTGTGTGAGTAATTTCAACTTGATTTGGAGCTTAAAACTCTTCTTTTAATGACTGCTATTAAATAATGAAGGGATGATAGAATTTAAGAACTACCTCCAAGTAATAATGGATGAAAGCAAGGTTCATCGATGGATCCTAAAACAACTGGTTGAAAGGTTGCTGAGGACAGAATAGTCCCTGGGCCTCAATATATCACCACACTGTCCACTAACTAATCACAAAATGGAAAATGAGCCTTTATACTTTAGAGATAGAGCAGTCACCTTTTACCCAAGAGGTTCAAGCTCAGCATCCCCAATAGTGGGATGGCCTGGTATCTGAAGGCTCCTGATAAAATACATTAGGATATTTTCATCATATCCATGGAATATTCTTGCTAGAGATGTTTGACCAGGATCTATTCAGAAAGAAATAGTCTACAAATCTGAAATGTGAGATGTTTTGCAGAAAACCAACCTAGACCAGTCACAGGATTCAGTGTTGGGAAGACAAGAGAGACATCTTTAAGAACAGGAGGCAGCTTTAAATTGGGGGACTCTAAAAAGATGTAACAATCATTGCACGAACATTAATTGGATCCTATTTTTTTAAGATGGCTATAAACTACATTTTTGGAACAATTGGAAAACATTGAGTATAGACTATATAGTGTATGGTATTTTGAATTACTATTGTATTTCTAACTGTGATAACAGTGATGTAGATGTGAAAAAGAATGTCTTTGTTTTAGAAAGATGCAGACTGCAAACTAAAATACTTAGATTAAGTGTCATGATGTCTGCAACCTACTTTTGGGTAGTTTGGCTTAACGGGTGTGTGTATGCAGGTGTTCACTGCATTTTTTTTTTCAACTTTTCTGCAAACTAAAAAGATTCACCTTTTCCTTCTTTTTCATTCAAAAAGCATAACTTTGGTGAAGAAATGTCTTTCTATATTGTTGGAGAGAGTAGGAACAAAGGAGAATGTAACTGTCCTTCAATCAAGTTACTGTTTTTATTATAGTTTCTTAACTTTGATGATTCAACTAATCATGTCACATAGCAGAGACTGAGCTTCCAAAGTTGTCTTCTTGTATCACGAAGGGCACAAGAAGGAGTGGTGCACTTCCAAGGAGATTTGTTTAACTTTTCAATTCCTTTCTACTATCATCACTCCATTCTGGTATTAGTTCTCCATTTGAGATTTTCCTTCAAGTAAAATTGTAATACATGGTCTTGTTCAACATTTTCATTACAAACTATAATACCTCAAATGATAATGTGCTTACCAAATTTGTAACTTAAAAACCAGGAGGAGTACATGATATACTGGAGTGAATGGATCACCAAAATAAGTTAGATAAAACTTAAAAGGAATAAGTAAAAAATGCCATATTCAGGCTCAACAGATCAAGATCCAATATAAGGAGACTTGGGTTAGAAGCAAAATTTTATATGCAAAAAGACTCTGGCTTTACTGGGGGAAAAAACTAAATTACACTTTTACTAGAGAGAGCATCTGTGAACTACCGAAGAGCAGAAAAGAACCCATATTCAAAGAAGATAAGAGAAAGGAATGTATGCTCACGGACAGAAGAGTGTGATGGTGTAACAGCATAGAAATTAGAAGACAAAAATAAACTCAAACTGTTTTATAAGGATATGTTCTGTGCAGCCCAAGATCCTAGTAATATTTGTTTTACAGAGACTAGGCTAAAATTGCAAAGAAAAATTTTAAACCCCTGTAAGCTTTTAGGATCAAACTACAGTCTTCAGGTTAAAACCAATCTTATTACCTGTTTCTGTATGGCCCGTGAACCCCTGTTCTCTTAAACCCTAAAGATGGTGTCAGCGGGCACCTCTGGACTCACCAGATCAGTAAATTATAATCAAATTTAGTGAGGAAAGGTTAGTGGTGAATTAGATTTCTGTTTGTACAATTCATTCAGTTTACTCAAACTGATAGGGTTTGCCAATCAGTTGCACATATGTTCACTTTACTAGGAAATCTAATGACCTTTTTAAAAACGTTATTGAACTGTTCTAAAAAGGAAAAAATCCCCTTTTTATTTTCAAAATGCTAAATCTAGAATCGCAATCAGGTATTGTTCATAAACAGAACATCTAAATTTAGATGAAACCTAATGAACATCAATCAATCACTTGGACAGAATGGAAGCTAAGCGTAAGAAAAGAAGTTCCTTTTTTAAAGTAAACTTATTTGAACAAGGTAACAGAGCATAACATAAAACTACACCTAGGCGTACCTCAAGGATCCTGAAACCTATCTGGAAAACAGTTAGGAACTAGGAAAAAGCAAAATGCGCTCTGAGAATTCCAAATGTCACAACGCCGACGAACTAAAGCTCAAGCACTTGAGTAATCGGAAAGGTCTTGAACCCTCAGTCACAGCTTCCATATCCTAACCACACAAAATTCTGCTAAGATTGGCTTCAGTTTTCAAAGCAGCATCAAACTAGAAGTCCCAAAGTAAAGTTGGGGGAAGGGAGGTTGCTGACAGCAACAAAAAACAGGGGTTGCCAATAGATAATAAAAACATGAGGAGGATAGTCTGCAAGAAAGAGAATAGCCAGGAAAACTAAAAAGCAGACATAAAACTTAGAAAGTATAGCAGTGTAGAATAAGTGTGGAAGCAAATAATCCAAAATGCCTCAACAGGTCTGGAAGACATTACTCTCTATTTCAACATATTGCAGCACTGATATTAATTGTAATGATCTAAAGATAAGACTGCATTACACATACTCTGTTTAGTAAATAAGAGACCAAAGAAATACATTTTCCAAAGGTTTTCAAGCAAAGTGGTTAAAATAAAAGTTTGGTGGTGTTCTTAGGCAAGTAAGCAAACCTCAACATGGTCGCAGACAGCTAATTGTGCATTTCTTAATTTACTTGATATAATTATTATATATATTTCAAATAAAATACCTCTTTTTCTAAACGCAAAAATATGTACTTAATTGCGTGTTGAGATGTACTGTAACAATTCTTTCGAGTCTATAAACTAAGATCAAAATAACCAGAACTATAAGGGTCAAACTATATTTCATGCTTAAATTAAGCTTTATTTATATATTTGGCATAGGACAGAAATGAGCCCATTTTAGGTTTACTTGCTAACAAAATATGAAAAAAGTTATCAGGCAATTAGATCAACACTAACAGCGATATCTTTAAGTATCGATTAAAACCATCATTTTGGAACTTGTGTGAAATGTGTAAAGTGATCAGCTCTGTAAAGGCCAAATGCAGAACGGCAGCAGTTTCGCATAACCGCTGCAGTGAAAGTTCAAGAGGCAGTCTTGAGTGCCTCTAACACCCTCACCACAAACTTCGGGCTCGCGGCGGCTCGCAGCCAGGCGCCTTTTCCCTGCGGTGGAAGCGCACCTCCCGGTCGCACGACCAGGCGCCGGGTCCCGCCGCCCCGCACCCCTCTTTAGGTCCGGGGCGGCTAGCGCCAGGAAAGGAGCCTGGCGCAGCAGAATACAAGGATGCGGATTTTCCCCATCCGCTCACCTGCTTCCGGGTGTGCGGTCGCCTAAGAGCGGCTCCTGCTCAGGGTCAATCCCCAGGCTCGCCATAGTTACCGCGCCCAGAAGGCGGTGTAAGGCCAACTCTCGCGACACCTTCTGCTCCCTCCCATGCCTCTAGACCAAAGCTGTCAAAACCAGCCAGCAAGTGCGCGTGCGCGCCCGGCGGCCAAAGTGGGCGGGAGGTCCCGAGGTCAGAAGCGGGGTCAGCGGGAGTCCCGGCCGTGCGGCGCGGGAAGAGGTCAGGGGCGGAGCGTGCTGTTGTCCTCCTCCTACAATCGCAGCCTGTCCTCCTCCGGAGACAGCGTGGGGGGAGGCGGGGAGGATTCAGGGGCGTGTCCAAACGTCTGCCACCGCCCCGGGCTCGTCCGTCTGCCGTGGCTTCGCTGTCTGGGTCTCGGTGCCCCTGAGTTCCCGAAAGGTTGCAGTCGCTGCGGTTGGGGCTCGGACAGAAGGCGAATCCCGAGCGTCAGCGGAGCGCCGGTGCTGGCAGGCTTGGCCAGCCGACAGCAGGCACCCGCGGAGCGGCCAGTGAGTACAGGCTGCGCTCCACGAGCTTCTCGGCACGCTGCGTACGTGCCTGAAGGCAGGGACTGGGGTGCAGGGCTTGGCGAGAGACGCCGAGGTACGGAGCGCGCGTCCAGGGGCGAGGCAGGGGGCGCAAAACGAGGCCGGGAACCCGGGCTCGCTCTGGCTGGAGGGGGTGGAGTGGGCTGGCGGGCAATCCCTTACCCTCGTGGAAGGGGCAGGTAGCTGCCCGCTGTCGTTTTCTCGCTCCGTTAACTGCAAAGACACTTGACTGTCAGTGCCTGATTAGGATCTGGATGGAGCCCTTAAGATGGGGTCCAGCGCTTCTGACCTGCTGATACCCAGATGCGCACGCCGCCGCCACCTGCGCAGCTGGGGGCAGCCTTTCACGATGCCACTCAGCAAAGCCTGCTGCTGTAATCTAGGGGTAGAAAAGGCACAGCACCAGCTTAACAGTGACCAGCTTCTTTCATCACAAGGAAGATGACATTTTTAGAAAATGTTGTGGTTTTTTTTTTTCCCTTAGTAGATCTTGGTGCTGTTTCTTTCCTGGTGCTTAAATTCTATCATCTTGCCTCTACAAGTAGGCTTGTAAGATAATTGGTAGCAGTACTCATTATGCATGTCATAATTACTGTTTTATTAGCAATAATACATTCCCATGTGATTTCATTTGATCACAGCTGTCCTGTGAAATAGGTAAAGCAGACACGTTTCTATTTTACGGAGAACTAAGATCTAGAGAGGTTGATGATTTACCCAGAAACACTCGGTGTGAAAGTGTCAGAGTTGGGACCCAAATTCAGTTATTCACAAGTATTTTTGAGAATTTACCCTATGCCAGGCCTTTTTCTAGGTATAGGTAGTATATGGTATATGCTACTGAGACAGGAACCGTGGGTGTAGTCAGAGTAGGGTGAGGGCCTCCGGAAAAAGCAAGGCAGGATATTTGCAGTCAGCAGTGTAACTACATGCAAGGAAACCCCTTACTAAAACTCTGTGTTAAACATTCAGCTCTAGAGTCATTCTTCAGTGAGATCAGTTAATATACCCCAGGTAAAGAAGAGTAGCACATGTTTATATTATGCTAATCATTTATAATCATGTGTGAGATTCACTTTAACATGCTAAAAGGCCCAAGCCTATGTGCTGTCTTTCCTCCTTCAGATCTGATGAGGTGATTTGCAAACTGAGCAACTAATTTAGCCTGCAGGCCCAGCCATAAACAACACAGTAAAAGGCAAAAAGGATTCCACCTTAAAGATGAGACAGCATTTTAACACCCAAGAAGTTAAGACTTTAGAAATTCTTAACTTACTCTTTAGCAAAGAATACCTCAGCCCACCTTGGGGGCTGAGCAGGTGGCCTTGTTTCATATGCCTCCAGACCAAGATGCTAGTATCTCAGGGGGAAATCATCAGAGCAGGAAGTTGCTTGTGTTAATTCTAAATATTCTGGGACCACTTAATAAGTCCACACCCCTAATCATTTTTTCATGTCCTCAAAAATCCTCAACTGCCTTTAAAACCCCTAGATAACCCACCACTATGGATTCTCTTGTCCCTTCCTGGTGTGAGCCAGGAGCTCTGTCCTTTCACTTTATCTCTAAATAAAAGCCTATACCTTGCTCTCCTACCTTGAGGGTTTGTGAAGCTCATTCTTCGGCTTCCTGAACAAGAATCCGGTATCACCATCGCTTCTGATCTTTGGTGACCTTGTGTGACCTTGTGTTTATCATATCAGGCACATTTCACTGGTGAACAAACACCTGAACTTGGAATGTGTTTTCTATTAGTTAAGAATTATCTTCTGAATCCAGACCTGACGTTTTGTACTTGGATTCAGTCTTGCAAATTTGTGACAGCTCACAAAAACATGTCAGATTCCTATGATTGGTTCCAAGAAGGTGTATATAGGTAAAAAAATTAGTTGTTTGTTTGTTTTGCCATAATGTTACTTTACTGTACCATCTTCTTTTTTAATCTCTGGAGCTTAACTCAGTGTGTAGCATTCATTCATCTGCTCATTTAACAAAAGGACTTTTAACCAGCTTTGCACCAAGCTAGACGGTTGCTAGATAAAGAATCTTTATTGAATTACATCATTTCATCCCTACAACAATCCTCTGAGGTAGGATTGTCTCCTGCATACAAATAAAATGAAAGCATGGAGATTAAGTATTTGCCTAGGGTCACACAGCAAATAAGCAACTGAGCTAGAACTCCCAGGAACACGGAACTCGTGACTGTAAAGCCTGTTTTTCCCCACCAGCCTTCCTGTGAAAAGAATGTCAAGAAGAATCTCTTCCCATATCTCTTAATATATATGAAAACAGGCAATCAATTTTTATGTAAATGAAATAATTTGCTAGTATGTATTATTCCCAGGTATTATTCCCCTTTTTTAGGTTAAGGTGACTTACTCAAGGTCACACAGCTAGTGGAGGAACCCAGGTCTTCTGACATTGCTATTTTCCACTACTCTCTCCAAGTGATGACTTAATACTACAAAAGTACATGGAATGAGTGCACGTGAAACCAATGAAATCTGAATAAACTGTATATTGTACCAATTAAAAAAAAGAAGAAAGAAAATTATTTATTAGGAACACACATGTGGCACACAAATAAACTTTTAAAAAACTTTAAAAAAGCCTTGTTTGTTTAAGATCCCATGGAAAAGAAGAGCTAAGTTTAAGAAGAGATTAGAGTTTTTGCTGACTATTTCACATGATAGGAGACAATCTCCCTGTTGGATTTCCTCAGATGACTGTTTAGAATAGATATCCACTCCTTCAAACATAAAAACTTTCTATTTTCTTACTCTTCTCCTATGTAAGATTAAAGGAATTAAATTTGTTGAGGTAGAGTTGGTTTTAATAGTAGATATCTAAACCTTTTCTTTGCTACTTAAGCTTGTATTGAAAAGAAATTATTTAAAAGTGAAGTTATAAGATAAAAATTAGGTTTGCATTTTTGTGGAGTAAAGTTCTTGGACATAGTGGTTTTTTTTAATTTCATTTATGCTTTTGAGATATGTATCAACTATATGAGACTAAAAGTCTAGAAAAAGTTAGGGCTGTGTTCAATTAAGTACCAGAGAGATAGGAGATGAAAGTAGTAGATGGCATAGTAGATGATGAGTGCCACTTCAGCAGCAGAGCCTGTTTCTAGGAAAGACTTTTCATTCCTGGCACTGTACTAGAACTTCTATTTATGTTTCACTTTGTTTATCCCTTTCACATTGGCTATAAAAGTATAATGACTTGTGTCAGTTTGGCTTGATACATACTTCAAAAGTGGTTTCTATTTCTGCAGAAGCTCACTAGTGTTAGTTCAGCCTGATGTGGAGGCTTGAAGTATCTGGTATGGCTCCAGAGGATGCCTCCTTTTGGCAAATTGAAGTTATCCTTACCCTGAGCTTGCATTATCTGTTCATGGTGGCACTGGATAGTAGTTAGGCCTACCTGGAAAAACCTACAGGTTTACAGTGTTTCAGAAAACCTGGTCTTTTATATTTTTCTTGGGACTCAAATGGGATTGGAGATCTATGTAAGCCCAGACTCTAGAACCAAACTTACAGTAAGCTATGTGTGTATCTGATTTGCTTTCTGTTTCTTATTGGCCAGTTACTTACTGACAGGTAAATAATACAAAGAACATACTGGCTGTAGATTTAGAGTACTGTCTCTTATGGCCTGTATTACATGGAATTAAAGTGATCTGGAAAATCACTGTTCTAGCATACGGTTGAAAATTAGAAATAACAACAATTTGGGCACATAATAAATATAGTACTTTACAAAATATTTGAAGAGTTCATTGTTCTCAGGTCGTTTCCTGCTTCCTGTGCAACTTTCTACTTCTGTATGTTTGTCAAACCTTGTTTTTATCTATTACTAACCTAGAAGAATATTGCATAGGAAAATGTGATGTCTCATGAGCTTTAGTACTTTTCTTCTTACTATAAACTATGAGTGTTGAGATTATGTTTAACACGAACATGGAATCTTACTGTTGTTGAGGCCATGGATGTTACAAAGGAAGATATTGACCCTGTGCTTTTCTTGCCACTGCAGAGAAAATAAGCGGCCTGTAATACTTGCAAAATAATAAAGTCCCACATTATAATGACATACCACTGTTCTACTCATTTAATAAATGTACACAAAAATATTATATGCCATTTTTATAACAACTCCAGAAATACACAAGGAATAAAATAATTAAAATCATCATTCATTACTCAAGAATTATCTTTCCTTATGCTATTGAACTTACCTGAATAGAATTACATATCCAAATATGTAAAAAAGAGTTGACCTCTTACTTGGAATATAATACACTAATTCTGAATTTTGGTAATTAAAGAATAAAGTATTTCATTTTCACCCCAGCTGGGTTTACTTCAGTTCAGCTCTGACATTAATTACCCAAAGATTAACACCACAGGAGTTAGTGCAGATCCTGCATGTCAAGAGTTCAGCCCTCCAAATGCCATTTCCTCCAAGGCCAGACACACTTCTGACAGACTTGACTACAACTTTGGGGGTTTCTGTGACCTCTGTGTATTGATGATTTGCCACAACAGCTCAGAGAACTGAGAAAATCTTTATACTGGGTTTCAATTTAGAAATGTCCAAGTAAAGAGTAGAATGAGGCAAGGGAGAAAATGTGGAGCTTCGATGTACTCTTCTTATGGAGTCAGGGTACATCTCCCTCTGACACATTATATTTATTAACCAAGAAGCTCTATGAAGCCTCAGTGTCCAGTGTTTTTATTTGGGTGTTCATGATTGACTGGGTCATTGGCCAGGTCATCCAACTCAGTCTTCAGCTCCCATACCCTCTTGGAGGTGAGGATGGCCCAAAGTCAACCCTTTAGTCAAATGGTCAGTCTTTCTGATGACCAGCCAGAAACTAGCCTGTATCTAGGGACCTGCCATGAGTTACCTCATTCACATACCAAAGACACTTCTATCATTTGGGAAATGCCAAGGGTTTTAGGAGCTCCATGCCAGACCATAGCTCAAAGAACAGGTACGTTCTTTAATATACCAAGCTGACATATCTTTCAAGAAAAAACTAGTCAAGCAAT